ATCGCCGATTTTCAAAATGCAAATGATCTGTTTATTTTCAAATAGTAGTTTTTTTTGTTATTGTTTGGTTGGTGTCTTATATGAAACTGCGACATTGCGCAATTTATTGGACAGACTTGTTTAAGATCACACAGCGTAATTTGGGTGGCATTTTATTTCGTATTTTTAAATCATGTTTTTATTTTTGACTATCTGTCAATTTAGTTTCCCGCTCTTAATTGTGAATGCATACTTGATGGTTTTAAATGCTCCTGAAATTAAATGCTGCTTGACGAGCCTATATTGTGTATATATGTGACGTCACTGAAGGCCAAAGGTTGAAACGCACGGCCCGCCACTTGTGGCATTCCATAAATAGCCCAGAATAAGTGATCTCCCTTTTTGGTGTTGTTGATGTTTGATTTTACTGTCAAATTATGAAGAAGAGGTATCTTGTGTCGTCATTTGGTGGTTTGTTGTCAAACTTCACATGGTCTTTAATTGCAAGTTAAACTGAAACATTTAACCGACTTATGTTTGTCATGCACAAGGTGTTGTCACAGCTGCCATTATGGATTGTCTGTACTTTGTTACGGAAATCACTGAATTGGTAACTCATTACGGGCGGAATGCTGATTGCTGTGGATATTTAAAACAAAAAAAAAAATAAATAAAATAAAAATCCAGCATCAAACATTACCACCAGTATTGGCGCTGCGTGGGGCCACTTAGACACTGACTTGTACACTTCCCATAAATAAATGCAATGAAATGCAATTTCATTGCATTTCATTGCATTTCATTCATAACGATTATGAGAACACCACATAGTGATTAAAACGAAACAAAAAAAAGTTTCACGAATTTGCTGATGCACTGACACTTGTATTACCATTGATTGTATGCCATGACAACAAAAATCTACAATCTTTCATGTTTTATATATATGTGTGTGTATTTATTTGCATTTAAACCTTTAGGTTTTCTGTTAAATATTGGTATGGATTTATTTTGTGAACGATTACTTGCGGTTTCAGTCATGTATGCCATATGACGGAGAGTGAGACAGAAGATCACTGGAGAGAGTGACAAGAGAAGAGCATTACGTTGTGTGATGGACTCATCTTTGATTTATCTACTACTGGTTTACAAAGCGCACATTGTATGTTAGATTTTATTCATTGAATGTTTGAATCAAAGTGATGGCTGTCAATATTTTTTAGAAATAGTATGGAATAGGTTTGTTTTAGTTTTCATGGTGTTCCATAATGGATGAGCAAGAAAATGACTGTGGACATAAGTATGAGGCTTGGTTCTTTACTGAATTAAATACAGTGCTTGTGCAGTGAATGCATGTGACGTACGAAATTACCGTATTTTCCGCACTAAAAGACGCACTGGATTATGAGGCGCACCTTCAATGAATGGCTATTTTGTAAATTTTTTTCATACATTGGACGCTTCGCGTTATATGGCGCAATCTACAATGCCTCCACGAGATGGTGCTACGCTCCTTCCATTTAACTTGAGAGGCGTTCTTGACAGCCTCTGAAAAACGTAAATTAACTATTACTGTACTTAAATGAAACTACGAAGATTGAAAATAATGCATCAAAACAGAACATCAAGTGAGGAAATCACAAAATAAATTCTATATCCCCCCTACAGAATTTATTTTGTGATTTCGTGGTTTCATTGAAGTAAGAATGAATTTACGTTTTTCGGAGGCGGCCATGAACGCCTCTCGAGTGGAACGGAAGAGAAGGCACGGAGACGGACAAAGACGTACAAGTACCTGTATTTGTTGAGACTGTGAAAACCATTAATAAAGTCTGGGTTTAAAAAAAATAAATAAAACCACAGCTCTCCTTTTTTCAACAAATACAGGTGAGTCTTTGTCCGTCTCTGTGCCTTCTCTTAGTACGTTCAACTTGAGAGGCGTTCATGACCGCCTCTGAAAAACGCATTGGCATTCCTTGATCATAGCGCCACGACTACTACGATCAGATGTCAGTAGTAGTTATTTATTCCTTTGTTGTGTATTCACAAATGATGAAATCACAATATAAATTCTGTAGGAGGCGCTATAGAATTTATTTTGTGATATCCCCGCTTGCTTTTCAGTTTTGATGTATTATTTTCAATTTTTGTAGTTTCATTGAAGTAATCGTTAGTTTACGTTTTTCGGAGGTGGTCTTGAACGCCTCTAGAGTCAAATGGAAGAAGGCACGGAGACAGACAAAGACGTAACTGTATTTGTTGAGACTGTTTTAAAAAATTAACACCACAGCTCTCCTTTTTTCGGAGCTGAAACACAAACTTATGTAATAAAGCAGCAACACAGTTCACTGAACCAACAGCAAGTTATAACATTGGAAGCATGTCTCCAGGAAGGAGCCATCTTGGAGTCGACGTATGACCGTAATGACCATACAAAAGACACACCGGATTTTAAGGCGCTCGGTGAGCTTTTAAGAAAATGGAAGACTTTGGTGCGCCCAATAGTGCGGAAAATACGGTAGTGTGCTTTCGACGCCAATTGGCTGTCACTGCCGCGTCATCACTAAAAACAAAAAGATCTTATTGTCCTAAAATAGCGATGATGTACTGCAATTATGTGAGTGCGGCTAAAAGCACATTGACGTACTGGCTGATGGTCCGAAAGTAGGTGTGACCGAAGTGCAGTTAAAATATATATTACGTCCATTTAGACCACATTGAGTGGAATACATCCAGTTGTAGTTTAAGTGTAAAGGACATCTTGTCCATATTGAAAATCTCCTTTGTCCTTATATTCTGACAAATGCTCCTAATTCAGCACTCCAGATATCAGCATCGCCACACCTCGCCTCAGTCCTGAGCTATGTCAAGAGCAAAATACCCATTTAAAACCTGATTTGTTCAGCTAGAAGTGCTCCACATCCGTAAGGTGTATCTGGTAAAAAAGAAAATTCAGCTTGATTTTTTTTTCAGGTGAGACAGTTTTCCACCTCTTAATTGGACTACGCAAGTAATTAATACTAACAGTAACAAGTTTTAAATATCTGTCAAACATTTTGTAGTGCTAGGAATAATACAGAGAGCTTCCCAGCTTCTCAACTTCAACACTGAATTCAACAAGCAAAAGATGAACTTGAAGATGAACATGAAAAAATGAAATAATAACTTCCAAGGGGTCTGTGAAGCGGACGTTCTTGTGCCTCTAAAGGTGACATCATTGAAAACTCCCGTGTGCCCCACTCAATGCCAAGTTGAAGAACTTTATGAAGCGTGGGTAAAATTAAAGAGTATATATACAAACACACACACAAACACCGTATTTTATGCACTAAAAGGCACACTGGATTATGAGGTGCACCTTCAATGAATGGCCTATTTTGCAAATTTTTTTCATGTATTGGACGCACTGGATTACAAAACGCAATCTACAATGCATCCACTAGATGGAGCCACGCTCCTTCCGTTTGACTCGAGAGGCGTTCATGACCGCCTCCGAAAAACGTAAATTAACGATTACTTCAATGAAACTACGAAAATTGAAAATAATGCATCAAAACAGAAAATCAAGCAAGGAAATCACAAAATAAATTCTACAGCCCACCTACAGAATTTATTTTGGCATTTCCTTGAGCGTAGCTCCAACACAACGATCAGATGTCAGTAAAATGTAGGAGACTGGACTGTCTCAGAAGAGTTTGT